AACTTCATAAATACTGCGTTTTTGAAGAAAATCGATATTTTTTATGAAATTGGCTGCAAAACTAAAATCGCTTAAAACTTCGTAAATACTGCGTTTTTGAAGAAAATAAGCTTTTTCTGTGATCACTTCAAAAATCGACATTTTGTATGAAATTGGTTGCAAAACTAAAATCGCTTAAAACTTCGTAAATACTGCGTTTTTGAAGAAAATAAGCTTAATCCGTGATCATTTCCAAATATTTCAAAAATCGATATTTTGTATGAAATTGGCTGCAAAACTAAAATCGCTTATAACTTCGTAAATACTGCGTTTTTGAAGAAAATAAGCTTTTTCTGTGATCACTTCAAAAATCGATATTTTGTATGAAATTGGGTGCAAAACTAAAATCGCTTAAAACTTCGTAAATACTGCGTTTTTGAAGAAAATAAGCTTAATCCGTGATCATTTCCAAATATTTCAAAAATCGATATTTTGTATGAAATTGGCTGCAAAACTAAAATCGCTTATAACTTCGTAAATACTGCGTTTTTGAAGAAAATAAGCTTTATCTGTGATCACTTCAAAAATAGATATTTTGTATGAAATTTACTGAAAAACTAAAATCGCTCATAACTTCGTAAATACTGCGTTTTTGAAGAAAATAACCTTAATCCGTGATCATTCCCAAATATTTCAAAAATCGATATTTTGTATGAAATTGGCTGCAAAACTAAAATCGCTTATAACTTCGTAAATACTGTGTTTTTGAAGAAAATAACCTTAATCCGTAATCACTTCCAAATATTTCAAAAATCGATATTTTTTATGAAATTTAGTGCAAAACTAAAATCGCTTAAAACTTCGTAAATACTGCGTTTTTGAAGAAAATAAGCTTTATCTGTGATCACTTCAAAAATAGATATTTTGTATGAAATTTACTGAAAAACTAAAATCGCTCATAACTTCGTAAATACTGCGTTTTTGAAGAAAATAACCTTAATCCGTGATCATTCCCAAATATTTCAAAAATCGATATTTTTTATGAAATTGATTGCAAAACTAAAATCGCTTAAAACTTCGTAAATACTGCGTTTTTGAAGAAAATAAGCTAATCCGTGATCACTCCCAAATATTTCAAAAATCGATATTTTGTATGAAATTGATTGCAAAACTATAATCGCTTATAACTTCGTAAATACTGCGTTTTTGAAGAAAATAAGCTTAATCCGTGATCACTTCCAAATATTTCAAAAATCGATATTTTGTATGAAATTGATTGCAAAACTAAAATCGCTTTTAACTTCGTAAATACTGCGATCACATCCAAATATTTCAAAAATCGATATTTTGTATGAAATTGGCTGCAAAACTAAAATCGCTTATAACTTCGTAAATACTGTGTTTTTGAAGAAAATAAGCTTAATCCGTGATCACTCCCAAATATTTCAAAAACCGATATTTTGTATGAAATTGATTGCAAAACTAAAATCGCTTATAACTTCGTAAATACTGCGTTTTTGAAGAAAATAAGCTTAATCCGTGATCACTCCCAAATATTTCAAAAACCGATATTTTGTATGAAATTGATTGCAAAACTAAAATCGCTTATAACTTCGTAAATACTGCGTTTTTGAAGAAAATAAGCGTAATCTGTGATCACTCCCAAATATTTCAAAAATCGATATTTTGTATGAAATTGGCTGCAAAATTAAAATCGCTTATAACTTCGTAAATACTGCGTTTTTGAAGAAAATAAGCTTAATCTGTGATCACTCCCAAATATTTCAAAAATCGATATTTTGTATGAAATTGGCTGCAAAACTAAAATCGCTTATAACTGCGTAAATACTGCGTTTTTAAAGAAAATAAGCTTAATTCGTGATCACTCCCAAATATTTCAAAAATCGATATTTTGTATGAAATTGATTGCAAAACTAAAATCGCTTATAACTTCGTAAATACTGCGTTTTTGAAGAAAATAAGCTTTTTCTGTGATCACTTCAAAAATTGATATTTTGTATGAAATTGGTTGCAAAACTAAAATCGCTTATAACATCGTAAATACTGCGTTTTTGAAGAAAATAAGCTTTATCTGTGATCACTTCCAAATATTTCAAAATCGATTTTTTGTATGAAATTGGCTGCAAAACTAAAATTGCTTATAACTTCGTAAATACTACGTTTTTGAAGAAAATAAGCTTAATCCGTGATCATTTCCAAATATTTCAAAAATCGATATTTTGTATGAAATTGGCTGCAAAACTAAAATCGCTTATAACTTCGTAAATACTGCGTTTTTTAAGAAAATAAGCTTTATCTGTGATCACATCCAAATATTTCAAAAATCGATATTTTGTATGAAATTGATTGCAAAACTAAAATCGCTTATAACTTCGTAAATACTGCATTTTTGAAGAAAATAAGCTTAATCCGTGATCATATCTAAATATTTCAAAATTCGTTATTTTGTATGAAATTGATTGCAAAACTAAAATCGCTTATAACTTCGTAAATACTGCGTTTTTGAAGAAAATAAGCTTAATCCGTGATCACTCCCAAATATTTCAAAAATCGATATTTTGTATGAAATTGGCTGCAAAACTAAAATGGCTCATAACTTCGTAAATACTGCGTTTTTGAAGAAAATAAGCTTTATCTGTGATCACATCCAAATATTTGAAAAATCGATATTTTGTATGAAATTGATTGCAAAACTAAAATCGCTTATTACTTCGTAAATACTGCTTTTTTGAAGAAAATAAGCTTAATCCGTGATCACTCCCAAATATTTCAAAAATCGATATTTTGTATGAAATTGATTGCAAAACTAAAATCGCTTATAACTTCGTAAATACTGCGTTTTTGAAGAAAATAAGCTTAATTCGTGATCACTCCCAAATATTTCAAAAATCGATATTTTGTATGAAATTGATTGCAAAACTAAAATCGCTTATAACTTCGTAAATACTGCGTTTTTGAAGAAAATAAGCTTTATCTGTGATCACATCCAAATATTTCAAAATCGATATTTTGTATGAAATTGATTGCAAAACTGAAATCGCTTATAACTTCGTAAATACTGCTTTTTTGAAGAAAATAAGCTTAATCCGTGATCACTCCCAAATATTTCAAAAATCGATATTTTGTATGAAATTGGCTGCAAAACTAAAATCGCTTATAACTTCGTAAATACTGCGTTTTTGAAGAAAATAAGCTTAATTCGTGATCACTCCCAAATATTTCAAAAATCGATATTTTGTATGAAATTGATTGCAAAACTAAAATCGCTTATAACTTCGTAAATACTGCGTTTTTGAAGAAAATAAGCTTAATCCGTGATCACTCCCAAATATTTCAAACATCGATATTTTGTATGAAATTGGCTCCAAAACTAAAATCGCTTATAACTTCGTAAATACTGCGTTTTTGATGAAAATAAGCTTAATTCGTGATCACTTCCAAATATTTCAAAAATCGATATTTTGTATGAAATTGATTGCAAAACTAAAATCGCTTATAACTTCGTAAATACTGCGTTTTTGAAGAAAATAAACTTAATCCGTGATCACTCCCAAATATTTCAGAAATCGATATTTTGTATGAAATTGATTGCAAAACTAAAATCGCTTATAACTTCGTAAATACTGCGTTTTTGAAGAAAATAAGCTTTATCTGTGATCACATCCAAATATTTCAAAAATCGATATTTTGTATGAAATTGATTGCAAAACTAAAATCGCTTATAACTTCGTAAATACTGCTTTTTTGAAGAAAATAAGCTTAATCCGTGATCACTCCCAAATATTTCAAAAATCGATATTTTGTATGAAATTGGCTGCAAAACTAAAATCGCTTATAACTTCGTAAATACTGCGTTTTTGAAGAAAATAAGCTTAATCCGTGATCACTCCCAAATATTTCAAAAATCGATATTTTGTATGAAATTGATTGCAAAACTAAAATCGCTTATAACTTCGTAAATACTGCGTTTTTGAAGAAAATAAGCTTAATCCGTGATCACTCCCAAATATTTCAAACATCGATATTTTGTATGAAATTGGCTCCAAAACTAAAATCGCTTATAACTTCGTAAATACTGCGCTTTTGAAGAAAATAAGCTTAATTGAAATTGATTGCAAAACTAAAATCGCTATAACTTCGTAAATACTGCGTTTTTGAAGAAAATAAACTTAATCCGTGATCACTCCCAAATATTTCAGAAATCGATATTTTGTATGAAATTGGCTCCAAAACTAAAATCGCTTATAATTTTGTAAATTCTGCGTTTTTAAAGAAAATAAGCTTTATCTGTGATCACATCCAAATATTTCAAAAATCGATATTTTGTATGGACTAAATACTAAACTGTAGACTAGACTATAAACTGGATATTTGACTATACCATAGAATAAACTACAGAATAGACTATAGATTAGGCTGTTGACTAGACAAAGACTAGACTGAAGACTAGGCTAAAGACTAAAACATCGACTAGACTATATGCAAGACTAGACTATATACTAGACTATAGACTGGACTATAGACTGGACTATAGACTAGATTGTAGACTAGAATTTATACTGGACTATAGACTAGAATATAGACTAGACTATAGACTAGTATATAATCTAGTCTACAGTCTAGTCTATAGTCCAGTATAGTATAGTAATTGGACTAGACTGGACTATATCATAAAAATGCCAAAAACAAATTCAAAAAGTTTTTTTGAATTTTAAATCTTTCTATTTTATTATTAAACATAAAGTAGTGTAGGTATAATTATTTCATCTTTTATTTAAATTATATCACATTATCGTATAAATTAACAATTATTTCGTTATTATTCTTATTTATTATTTTATTTTTATTCTAAATTTAATTTAACTATTAACTAAAAATCTACAATCGTGGTTTCTGTTAAACAATTAAATAAAATATTACAAATATGGACGCAAACTATGAAAAAAAAAAAAACAATAGACTTATGACAAAAAGCTAACAAAGGAATACATAAAGTAATAGACATTTATGCCATTTTTATTGTACATTAAATGTTGTCAACAATTTAAATTTAACACAAATAAATAAAACTGTTTTAAATTATTAGAAAAAGATAAATATTACAAAATTTATAAAATATCTAAATGAAAAATTAACATAAAATAAAAAAAATTGAGTCAGGTTTTGTTTTTTGTTTAGATAGAAGGGGTATCAATTAAAGGGGGCAGCCATATTGAAAATAAATAAATTATGAATTTCAGTTTTAATATTAAACAAATTGGTAGAAACAAAAGAAAATAAAAGTTTAAATGCTGTTTTTTATAAAGGATTTCAGTTTTACAATTTAAGATTGGACAAAAGCTTTGTTTGAAAAAGCTTTTTAAAGAGCTTATAAGTTTTATATTTAGTAGAATTTCATAAATTTTTTTATTATTAAAAGCTTTTAAATCTACAAATTTGGTTTAAATTTTACAAAAGCTTTCGCCAAATTTAAAAGAAATTTAATACATATTAAAGGCTTTTAAGTTGTTATTATAACAATTAGTTTAAACTTCGCAGAAGCTTTATTTGCTAAAGCTTTGTGTAAAGCCTTAAAAGTTTTAAATTAGTTTTTATTGCATTTCACATTAAACTGGAATTAAATTGAATAAAAATTAAGTAAATAAAATCCAAATATATAAGAATAAGCTCTTAAGCTTTACAAATTCTCAAATGTTTCAGTATTTGGCAAGTTTACTTAAACCCCAAATAAAACAGCTTTTAAAACTCATCCCCCAACTATAAAGTTATTCAAAAATATTACTATTTAAAAATTGTTATAACTAAATAATTAAGTCAGTCGTTGTTAAGCTTTTTATGATCTTAATTTGAAAAAATTCCAAGCTTTTTCAAATAAAGAAGAGATTCTTAGAAAATACGTTATAAAAATTGTATGTATATCCCTGCTCTACTAGTCAAACTTATCAATAGAGTTATAGATCTTTTTTTTCATTTAAAAGTAGAGAGTATAAAACTAAATAATTTATAAAGTTATAGAAAAAAGAACACATTTTAATTGTTGCTGTGAGTGGGTAAATGATTACTGCCACTAGCCCTTTCAGACACAATTCTCGCAGTAGATCTACTACTGGGAGCAGCCGAGGGCGATAATTGTAGGTGTGTCATCGAAGGCGGTGAGCTGGCCACTTCTAGTGAATTCAAAGTATTGCTTGAGGCGGCTTTTTGATTGGGAAACAATACGGAATAGGCGGGTGGCGGATCCAACTCTTCATAGTTAGGGGGAGCTGTGGTATTGGAATGATTATCTTGACCCATGGCTGCAGCGGCATTGGCCGATTGTAAAGCTGATTCGCGTTCATTATTGGCTGCATGTTGGGAAGCGGAGGCTGAAAATGAACGTATGGTTTGAATGTGATAGCTAAAGCGACAACACCAAACTAAGGACAGACATAACAGTGCAAATAACACAAAGATGGAGAGGTAGGGAGAAGGAAGGATAAAGTGTATAGGTTTTGTATTTGATAACAGGATTAGTGTGGTAGTGATAGTATAGACATAAACAATAGTATTAAATTTGCAAACATATTTGTTTGAAAAGAAAGAGGGTTAATGAGTGTTGTTGTTGTTGTTTATAAGAATAAATTTATAGCTTGTGTTATTGTGTCTTTTTCTTAATAGCATGCTAAACTTACCCCATAAACCACAAATCAGTAAAGCGCCCCCGCATAGCAACATGCCCAGCATAAGATAACCCCAAGGACCATATTTAGACAAATCCGAATTGACACCTGTACGTGTTGAATTGCGCCGATGATGATTTCCCGACAAACTAGACGAGTTATCGGCCTTGCCTATAGTTAGAGTAGTATTGGATTTTCCTGAGTCTTGTTCCTCTGTCAGAGTTTCATTAAATTCTTTACCTCCTTCCACCTTATGTAAAGTGGTTTTATTACTAATAGGTTTCTCAGAGACATCATCGTCCGACTCTAGCAAAGGTTTACTGGTGGTGCCTTTGGCTATAGAGGGCACATCAAAGGCAAATAAATTGCGAAATACCTCCAAAGCAAAATGTTCAAAAATATCTGATTCCATAGACGGTGGCATAGGTTCTCCTTGGCGACTATGTTTCCAGCACATAGTATAATCCTCATCACTGTCGTATTCATTGCTATAGGGGCAATGACGTATGCCATCGCATATTAAATCCTTAGAAATGCACAAAATGGGATCATCACTATATTCAGAAAAAAAACATAATTAATATTTAGTTTTAAAAAATTTTAACAAAAAATTACCCTATTCTTAAACATTGATGTTTCTTTTCACTGCGACACTCATCTCCCTTACCCAAAACGGTGACCATTAGTTTGGAGTTTAAGGTATGATTCTGATGTTCCCATACTATGCGCACACGGCCATGGAACAGTCTTACCGGATCCTCCATTTCGGGGGCAGTGTCCTCCAATTGACAGGGATCCACACGCCACTGTGGTGTATGAGGATCATGGGAACTGAACTAAAAATAAAAGAAAATAACTGTTTAATATGATATCGAATTTGAATTTTAAATTAACAGCAAAAGTAAATAATAAATCTATAAAACATTTTATGCATATGAAAACTCTCCCCTAAAAGCTTTAGATATGAGGTTTTATTTTTTGTTGTCATATTACACCATTATCAGAATTCATGATTTCTCATGGATAGAACGTGACATCAATTATTCAAAAGAAACGTATATACTCCGCCAACAACAACAACAGTAGCAATAACTAATAAAAAAAAACTAAATAGTTTTAATCAAATCCGAATCGCATACTCACATGTAAAGCTTTTTTGCATACAATTTTTACACTAAAACATTTGATGGATGTGTAATTAGGGTGGTATTCTACGGTTCATCCTAGTTGAGATATCCATCACTGTCTAAATGCTGTACGTTTTTCAACATTTTATATATCATTTGTATTGCAGGGGGTGTAAACGTATTTTCATATGTATTTTTATTTATAAGAGTATATCATAGATTATTTTATTCTATTTTATTTATTTGATTTTTTATTAACAATTTATTTGTTTATAGAATAAAAATGTCTATAAATTTGAAATGAAATATTTGAACAGCATAGTAGTGTTGGTTTAGTTTTTTTTACATTTTTCTAACAGTTTTTATTTAAAATATTAAAAGGGATTTTAGAGGTTTTAAAAATATGTTAAAACTTGCCAAAAATTAATTTTTTTAACACTTACAGATATGGAGATTTAAAAATCTAAATTTGAAATAAAAATCATGATGTATGAATAGCTTTTAACTAAGTAAGAAATATTTGCAGCAAATAAACCAAATATTTCAACATTGGCTTCCTAGGTTCTTGCGGGACGTCCGATGAAGAAAATGGCTGTGATCAGCAGATCCTCGTAATGAAACCCAATTGAAGAATTCCCAACTACTAACTACTAACTAACTAACTAACTAACTAACTAACTAACTAACTACTAACTAACTAACTAACTAACTAACTAACTAACTAACTACTAACTAACTAACTAACTAACTAACTAACTAACTAACTAACTAACTAACTAACTAACTAACTAACTAACTAACTAACTAACTAACTAACTAACTAACTAACTAACTAACTAACTAACTAACTAACTAACTAACTAACTAACTAACTAACTACTACTAACTAACTAACTAACTAACTAACTAACTAACTAACTAACTAACTAACTAACTAACTAACTAACTACTAACTAACTAACTAACTAACTAACTAACTAACTAACTAACTAACTAACTAACTAACTAACTAACTAACTAACTAACTAACGAACTAACTAACTAACTACTAACTAACTAACTAACTACTAACTAACTAACTAACTAACTAACTAACTAACTAACTAACTAACTAACTAACTAACTAACTACTAACTAACTAACTAACTAACTAACTACTAACTAACTAACTACTAACTAACTAACTAACTAACTACTAACTAACTAACTAACTAACTAACTAACTAACTAACTACTAACTAACTAACTAACTAACTAACTAACTAACTAACTAACTAACTACTACTAACTAACTAACTAACTAACTAACTAACTAACTAACTACTAACTAACTACTAACTAACTAACTAACTAACTAACTAACTAACTACTAACTAACTAACTAACTAACTAACTAACTAACTACTAACTAACTAACTAACTAACTAACTAACTAACTAACTAACTACTAACTAACTACTAACTAACTAACTAACTAACTAACTAACTAACTAACTAACTAACTAACTACTAACTAACTAACTAACTAACTACTAACTAACTAACTACTAACTAACTAACTAACTACTAACTAACTAACTAACTACTAACTAACTAACTAACTACTAACTACTAACTAACTAACTAACTAACTAACTAACTAACTACTAACTAACTAACTAACTAACCTAACTAACTAACTAACTAACTAACTAACTAACTAACTAACTACTAACTAACTAACTAACTAACTAACTAACTAACTACTAACTAACTAACTAACTAACTAACTAACTAACTAACTAAACTAACTAACTAACTAACTAACTAACTAACTAACTAACTAACTAACTAACTAACTAACTAACTAACTAACTACTAACTAACTAACTAACTAACTAACTAACTAGCTAACTAACTAACTAACTACTAACTAACTAACTAACTAACTACTAACTAACTAACTAACTAACTAACTACTAACTAACTAACTAACTAACTAACTAACTAACTAACTAACTAACTAACTACTAACTAACTAACTACTAGCTAACTAACTAACTAACTAACTAACTAGCTAACTAACTAACTAACTAACTAACTAACTAACTAACTAACTACTAACTAACTAACTAACTAACACTAGCTAACTAACTAACTAACTAACTAACTAACTACTACTCTAACTAACTATCTAACTAACTAACTCTCAGAAAATATGTTAGAGTGTGGCCGACCATATGATCTGTGTTTATAGGTGAATTGTGGAAATTCAAGTTATTTTCTGAAGGGTGCTTCATATGGCAGCTAGGGTCAAGTGAGGCCCGATCATGAAAAAATTTGGCAGGGCCGTGAAGGCAAGTATAAAACTTGGTTGTTCTACTTTTAAGCGAGATACAAGTATATTTAACATAATTATGAACACAAAAGCCCTCTTCGGGGTGTTCAGTTGTAATGGGGCTAGGTGAAATAATGAAGCGTTTTTAAACATTTTCAATGGTCTTCGTCCCTGGGTCAACAAAGCGTATGTGGCAAATTTTAATGAGCACAAGATTCACATGGAAACACTGACGGGCGGACATAGCGGCTCAGTAAGTGATTCTGACCACCTTAAAGTGGGAGTAGGGCCAAGACTTTTGGGTGTTATAGACTTTAGCATAAACATATGATACCTTCCCTGCTATAGTAGCGTATTAAAAGTATCTTCATAAAAACTCTTTTGCTTTTAAGAACATTTTATCAATTAAAAAAATTAAATCTAAAAACAAAAGTTATAACTACAGAAATGCTCTATACATATCGGTCATTTACTATAAGACTGTTATAACACAAAATTCCGTTTTTTGAAATGTGTATTACAAAATATGGATCGTTTTAAAGTATTTCATATAAGTTTAAGTATTTCATATAAGTTTTAAAAAAATATCAACTATTTTCAGTTTTTATATAGTATGTAAATATGTATTTAATAAGTAAAAAGCTGGTTTTATATTTAAACTCAGATAATTATTTTCTTGAAACGTCTTTTTGCATTATAGCAGTCTTGTAGTAAATGAGCGATACATATATTCTCAAAACCTTCACACACTCAGATGTCACAACGATTAAACAATTAAAACGCCATAAATTATTAACCATTAAATAATTTTACTTAATTTAATATCGTTGGTGTTTGCTTAATAGGCAACGCGGATTGAAAAATCAATATTTTAACAATCTCCGTATTGAGTACGATCTTCAGATCCAAAATAAATAAACAAGTGGCAAATATTTAATATATTTTTTCTTCTTCTTTCTTAAAAAAAACACACAAGTTCAATGTCATTAAAATAAATTGTAATTGTAGACTTGTGTTTTTGACGCACGTAAGTATTTATTTTCCTATAAACCCACAAACAAGTTTCATTTATTTTAAGAAAAACAAAAAAAACATTTATATTTTACAATTTTTAAGTAACCAATTACTTTGTTAACCTTTATTAAATGAAACAGCAATATCTTGTTAATTATTGTTGAAACATGTTTGACATCTCTATTTGATGTGGTTGATCTTGTAAGTTCATAGATCTTGTTGGAAAACAGTAGTTGGAAATTAATAAAAAGTTCTAATAAATACTTAACGTAAATAAATAATAATTATAAAGAAATTAAAAGGAGAAATCTATTTGTTATCTTCCCTATAACATTTCCTATGTTGTATTTTGTATACATATATACACTGAAATTTGAAACATTTTTGAATTTTTCTTAAATTTTATTTCGCAGTAATGTTTACTTGTTTAATTTATTTATTTAAGACCGGTTTTTATCTCATTTAGTAATTATTTTTTTAATGACTTTAAGAACAATTTTTATGTCAATGTCGACTGTTTGCCAAAAAAAACAAAAAAAAAAATTAACATGGGAATATTTTATATATTTTACAATTTACTACAAGTAATAAAATTATATTTTAAGATACTTTATTACATTTGTAACATTATCTTGGTTGCGTATATAAATCGGCCAGAGATCATTGGAATTTTAAGGATTTACAGCACATAGTTTGTGCCTTTAATAACTTATGTGGTTTTCTAGAGGGTCATGACTGGCAATGGATAATGTTTTCAAATACGAGTGACCGATTTATTATAAGCTGCTGAAGCAGAGGAGCAATTCTGCACATAATTTAAACGTTTATAGCAATCCTTGGAAAAAGACTGGAATATGGTCATATGTTGCAATATTGAAGTGAAGACTCGCACTGTAATACGTTACGCTTTATAACAGGTAAACTTAATATTAAAATTTTAATGTGGCCAATAGACTAGTCAATACTATTACATTGGCAAGCCCATAGATTATTCAGTAGCCATTGACCAGACTATAGACCAGATTATAGAACAGACTCCAGACAATACTACATAATAGATAAGCCCATAGACTAGACTATAGACTAAAATGTAGACTAGACTATAGACTAGACTATAGACTAGACTATAGACTAGACTATAGACTAGACTATAGACTAGACTATAGACTAGACTATAGACTAGACTATAGACTAGACTATAGACTAGACTATAGACTAGACTATAGACTAGACTATAGACTAGACATAGACTAGACTAGACTATAGACTAGACGATAGACTAGACTATAGACTAGACTAGACTAGACTATAGACTAGAACTATAGACTAGACTATAGACTAGACATAGACTAGACTATGAACTAGACTATAGACTAGA